AATTCTTAAATGAATTGACAAGGCTATTTTAAATTAAACTTTATTTACAAAAATAGAGAGCTGGACTTGTCTCTTGGGCTTTAATGCACAAGCCCTTGGTATAGATTGATTCTTGGAAGAGTTTATGTCAGCATACAATGAAACGCAGGTAGTTGGGTCAATTTATAAAAACTGCAACATCAAGCAATGGTACTTGACAACATTTATACAAACCTTTGATATACAAATTTGCCTGTCATTGGGATAACATTGGCTCCTGGCAGTAGTTGTGTGGAGTTCTCTGCCCTAATGTAGGTATTTGCTGGATCCCAGAACAAATTGTGAGGAGCTCATGAGTCAAACCCAAGGGCAGCTTGTTTTCTGCAATTATTCTTACACATCAAGCTAAACCTTTACAAGTGAGAAAATTTTAAAAATGCAAAGGCTTTAAAAATTCTTCAGTTAGTTAATTACCTTGAATATGAGAAGATATTTAAATTTTTTTTTTTTGGAACTGGGGATCGAACTCAGGATCTTGTGCTTGCAAGGCAGGTGTGGCACCACTGAGCCAAATCCATGACCCCAAGATATTTAAACTTTTATTGCCAGCTTTCAAAACACACTTGCCACCTTCAAGGATTATTAGTGACAGTGTTTCCTGGGGAAGAGAAGAAGGGAGTAGAGATGGCTTTTATGGGACCAAAGACGCAGATTTAGGCTCATAATTCTAGGGTAAAAGCCGAACACTTTTCCTGAATCAACAAAGCAGAATTGTGATTCCTGTGTTCTATCATCATAGTAGAGAGAAAAACAAAACTTTTTGGTCAGCCAACCTGAGTTCAAACCCTAGCATTACCACTTGTTAGTTGTATACTCTTGGGTTAAATGACTTAATGTCTTAGGGCAGTGGTGGTGGACCTATGTCACACATGCTGCAGTAGGTTATCTGTATCACTGAGAACTCTAAAAGATTCACCATCACTGTCTTAGGGCCTTAAATGCTTCATATAATAAGTGAATTTTTTCATGCAGATGAAAGGTTTTAACAGATTAGTATCATACATTACATAAATATTATAATATAAAAACAAAACTATGCTTTGGTCACAGTTGGTACCTAAAATCTTTGCCTCTCTTTGCCACCTCAGGTTCATGTTTACGTGGTATAAACACTATAACCTATCTTCTTTCTTCTTTATCTGGTTGATATGCATGAAAATTTATTTACAACCTTGAGCTTCTGATCACAGAACAGAATTTGGGCTCAGAAAATTAAAATATGGCCACAGCTCTCTCACTCATGTACTTTGGAACTATGGAAAATCACAGACCCAGATAGTTGAAAGGGATTTTTATATCTTCTTGCAAATTTTAATCAAGTCTATGGCTTTTTCCATCTGTAAAATGAAATAATCTGTAGAACAAACACATATCTAAAAATAACATGAGCAACTTCAAAATAAATTTAAAAAAACAATGAATTTGGTTGCTAAGGGAAACAGATTCTGCAGCTTTGGAGCAGTAGTAAATTAAAACATCTTAAGCCACTTTAAGTAATTAGTTTTCTGTGATTAAGAGAGCAAGTAGAGACCTCAGAACATTTCAGTTGTTTATAACTAAGGCCTGTTCTGCCTACCTACATTTACCCCTCTCCCCAATGTGCTTAGATATATGATTTATAATAAAGTACACAATTTATTAATTTTCACGCGTGTATATACCTGTGAAACCATGGACACAAAAAGATGCTCCATTTATCCATTACCTCGTGGGGGCTCACTGATTGCTCTGGTAACTAGGAGATGTTCTTGGCTGAGCCCAGGGATGACAGAGCTCCTGAAATGTGCAGTCGTGCACAAAGAGTGCCTCATCCCTTTGCTAAACCCATGAAGAAACGAAGTCCACTGAAGACACTGACGCAAGATCAATGTAAGTTTCTTCTACTTTCATGTAAGCACAAGATTTTTAAACAAGAAATATAGTGTTTGCTGAAATTCTTGACCTGAATTAAATTATTGTCAATTGATAGTTAAAAGCTGTAAGCACTCTAAAAGGAAGGATGCATTTAAACTGTGAGAGTGGATGTGTCTAAATAATGGGAGTCAGCAAGTCCCTCCTCACCCCATGGTCAATCTGCTGCTGCTGGATGGCAGAATAGAGAATGAAGCCACAAGTTTAGAACTTTGGCTTCCTGCTCCTAAAGACAAGGGGAAAGTGTTAATTCTCTCTCTTTCTCTCCATCTCTTTCTCTCTTTTCTTTCATTCTTTCTTTTTTGTGGTACTGCAGGTGAAATCCAGGGCCTCTTGCATGCTAGGCAAAGGCTCTACCACTGAATTATATTATCAGCCCTTTTATTTTGGGACAGAATCTTATTAAACTTGTATATGCAAATACTATACCATTTTTTTTTGTACCTGGGATAGAATATACCATTTTATAAAATGGACTGGAGCATTGCTTGCATTTTGGTGTCCTCAGGAGTCTTGGATCCAATCCACTGTAGATACTGAAGGACAACTATACTCAGAAAATGCTTTCAAGTTCCTAACTGATGAGGATCTTTCTGCAGCAGTTCTGGAAATCCTTTTTCGTGAGTGACTTAGTGGCACTATTGTGGCTGTCTCCATGTCCTGAATTGATTCAAATGTTTACCTTTCATAGTCATTTTGACTTTGGGGAAGAGCCAGAAGTTACATGGTGCCAGATCTAGTGAGTAAGATGGATGAGGACACACTGTAATTAATGCTTTTATGATCTTCTCTTTCCTTTGGATGGGACTCAATAGCATCACTGTATTTTTGATCACACTTTATAAAGACACTCACAAAAGAAGACTTCCTGAACTGCTTCACAAAGTGTCAAGAATGATGGGATAAATGTGTTCAAAGCGAGGGGGGGTATTTTGAGGGGAGATTAATGGTAATATGTATTTTACTGTCATAGATTTTGAAATTTAAACATTCACTATATGTTTCAATTACTCCTTGTAGTTGCTAATAGATGTAATTTTGATATTTAAGATATCAATTTAAAATCATTTGACGTTTGATGTCTACCAGAAAGATTATCAGTCTAAAAAGTGAAATAATATACAAGGCTAGTGGTTCTCAAACTTATATGTGCTTAGAATCTACTTGCTATTTAAACAGATTTCTGGGTTGGTCCCACTTATAGAACGGCTTAGTCCCACTGACAGAGCTGCCTAGGGTCGAGCCCAAGAACCTGCATGTCTTGTAAGTTCCCAGTGATGTTGATGCTGCAGTTCTGAGGACCTTATACTTGGGCCTTGCGTTTCCCAAGGGCCTGTCATGCTGACTGGATGCTGACAATAGAAGAGATGAGCAAGGAGCACCTGGTCCTTTTGGGAGCACCTTTGTGTAAGGAAGGAGCACCCCACCTTCGGCTGGAACTGCCCATGAAACCCTGAACTCACTGTTGGCATCTTCCCACTACAGTCCTTCATGCCTCTTGTTCATTATAGCCAAAGGGAAAAAAAATAAGGTTCAAATGTCTGGGTACCGGACCTAGAAGACCATGAGAGCTAGAACATCTTACAGACACATTTGTAGGAATGATGAAGCTGAAAAGGCATACCAAAAGATGATAATGAACTCATGAGCTCAAGGCTTTCAAGAGAAACAAATGTCATTAATGTACCTTTTCTTGGAATAAGTAGGCTGTTAAAAACAAACACAGAGAAAATTTCCAATTACAGAAAGAAGAGCAGCTCCACAAGCAAGGACTGCCTTCTCAGCTTTGGGGCTCTTCATTATTTGTCTGAATCTCTTTCCCACCACTGCCAGAGGATCATCGAGAAGCAAACTTGAAAACTTTGCATGGCCCAACTATTCTTTAGCGAAGGGCATTTAAAGTAAAAACTAAGCTATCTGGGTTCATAGCTGATTTTTTAAATTTATGGGGTTCTTTAAGACTATGTGGGGAATTACTGAAAGGTAAGTGACGCCAAAACAAAGAGATACATGTGCACCTATCATTCTCCCCAAGATTAAAAAATCAAGGCAATGAGAGCACCCGAGGTAAGAGAGACACCCCAGCCATTCTCATCCAGCTCATTAATACCTAACAAAAATGGCTTATTTTGAAGAGAAATAATTATTGTAAATATAAATGTGTCTGAAAAGTTAATCCTCATAGCCCTAAAGACAAAATGATTTCTCCCAAGTCTCCAAATGGAATACCTTCACTTTTATTTTGTAATCAATTTTCTTTGAAAAATCCTGTTAATTATAGAAACATTTCCAGTTTAATTATATTGCTTTTTTATCTCTTCCATACTAAGGTGGTAATGATTTTTTAAATTTTTACTCATTTTATTGAGGTAAAATACACACAGCATAGCTATACTTTAAGGATACAATTTTGGGGCACTAAGAACATTTGTATTGCTGTATAATCATCACCACTATCCACATGCAGATGTATTTGTTTTGAAACAACTCATTTTTTTTTTTCCTCCCCAGACTGATATGAGCTAGAAGCAACATGTATGGGTAACTCTGGTGTTTTTGCTAACAAGGCGTCAAAACAGAAGGCTTCTTGTGTGTTTTTCTGGAGGAAAGTTAAGTCATCAGAAAAGAGGACTTAAAGACTGAGGTCAGGAGGAAGGTCCAATTGTCATCCTACCTACCCATTCTTTTAAGTTACGAATAGCAAAACATGGTACCACCTGCTACTTTGTGAAAACCTCCTTTCTCTAAATTCATGGGAGACATTATTCTGTGATCACCACACCTTTTCCCACTGAATCGCAAAATCTTTCTCCATGTGGTCTACCATGCATTCATCACAACTAATTACAACTGGTCACAGAAGAATTCCACTTACCATCTCCAAATAAAAAATGCAAGCCATTCTGTTGCGACAAGAAGGAGCATATGGCAGAGACAACATATATAGCAGTACATGCAAATGTGCACATGGTAGAAAAGTCCGTCAACGTGGGGATGTCATAATGAAGTTTTTTTAGTATGGAAATGGTCAAAAATACAAATGTTTTTACCTGGGTAGGAACACACTTTCCACCACATAAAAGTCTTGCATGAGAACATCTCGTTCTGGCTTGGAAGTGAGATTCCCCACTGTGTATCCTATTCCCAGCTGAATAGCACCTTTAATAGCAGATGATGCAGTCTGCAAAGAAAAAGAGGGTCTCCATGTTAGTCTCCACAGTCGTGGTCTTGTTCAATATTGCAAACAGCAAAACATTTTCCTTTTTGTTCTTACGCAACAAGGAGGTTGGGGCATGGAAAATGATAGGTTGTTCCAAGTATGAGGGATTAACTCGGGGCTTGCACATGCTAGGCAAGCACTTACTACTGAGCCACATTCCCAGTTCCACTAAGTTGCTACTTTTGATAGAGGATCTATTTCAACTGTGAGGATTTTTTGGTTGTTTCTAAGATCACATTAGAATCCAAAATAGCCATCTTTCCTTTAATAAGAGCATAGAAACTTGGTGGAACACTTTCAATATATAGCTTTATAATTTCTACCTAAAGATAAATTTTTCACATCATATTTTAAAAAACAGAATTTTTATAACATACCTATGGATCAGGAAGATTATTTTTTTCCCCTAAGAAACGAGAGAGCAAAACACAATTGGGTCCTTTGCTGTATGCCCAAAATTTAATCTGGAAATTGCACGCGTCTTGCCAAAGACCCATAATCAAAACTTCCTACACTGACCTGTGATAAAACTAGCACAAGGACAGTAGTATTTCCAATTTACTACTTTCCCAACATTATGCATAATTAAATTGATAGAGTGTCAGCTCGGAGAATAACGACCATGTGTATAAGTAAGTGTATGTACACATGTAGTAATACACATGTATGTTAGTAGACATAATAGAATAACTCAATTTAGGAATATTAGAAATGTTTTTTGGTACCAGGAATCAAACTTAGGGCCTCATGCTTGCCAGGCAGGTGCTGTGCCACTGAGCTACATCCTGGCCCTAGAATGTATTCTTAATGGTGAAAGTATGTCATACTTTTAATGCCTTGTAGTGCCTGATGGAGTGGCATGTACTGAGTGGGCACAAATAAATACTTAAGTCAGTGATTCTTTTTTCTTTTTTTTTTTTGGTACCAGGGATTGAACTTACAACCTTGTGCTTGAGAGGCAGATGTGATGCCACTGAGCTAAATCCCCAGCCAAAGTCAGTGGTTCTTAACTAGAGATGTTTGGCCACATCTGAAAACATTTGGTGTGCAGTACTACTCGCTTTCAGTGGATAAAAGGAGTTATGTTAATAATTATGTTACAATGCACAGGATGGCTCTCGCCACAAAGAATTATCCAGCTTCAAATTTCATTAGTGCAAAGGTTGGGGAACCCAGAGTTAAGTAAATATAATAAATATCATCCACTTTATAGAAAAAAATACTTTCTTTTTGAACTATTAGTTGCACTTACCAAATCCAAGACCTCCTACTTCCCTTCATGCTGTATTCTTTATCTCTCCCTGCTTTCAACATCAAAGAACACTTCTTGAAAAATTTACTTCACTTGATTTCTAGAATAGGACACAGTCCTGGGATCACTTCTAGCTTTTCTGATAGTCTCTCTTGTCATTTCTTCACTAATTCCTCATATTCTACTTGCTATAACTACAAGAAGCCTAAAAATTTGATCCTTAATTATCTGGGTAATCATTCTTAATGGCTTCAAATGCTGTCTATGCATCTGATTCAGATTTTTTTCAATCTGTTTGGATGCTGTTCTGTAGTCATATATGTAGTATGTACAGAAGCAGACCAATATCTTATACTCTCTCCACTGCACTTTCAAGATCAGCTTTCTCTCTTCAGGCACCTTCAGTCACCCAAGCTTGAACCCCAAACAGACCCCATGGTAGCACAGGGCTGGGTCCCTAAAATCAACTGGTTGACTTTGTCTGAAATGGCCATGCTCAGTCAGGACTGATCAAGCATCTCTAAATGCAGCTACCTAGTACAACCATATTCCCATGGTTATCATTCAATTACTTTGCTCATGGGTCTGAAAACACTATGTAACCTTTAGCCTGAAGACAGCTACCTCCAGCCTTGACCCCGCAGAAAGTAGAAAATGTCTTGATTGGGGCTGGGGATTTAGCTCAGTGGTTCTGGCGCCTGCCATGCAAGCACAAGGTCCCGAGTTCCATCCCGGGTACCCCCCCCCCCCAAAAGAAAGAAAACGTCTTGATATCGTTCTCTTTTTACATCCCTTCTTTCTTAACATCCTATGGTAGCAAAATATAAAAGATTGTGGTTAAGTGCATCTAATGCTTTAAACAAAGGTTGCTATTTTCATACTCCCTCTCCGACTTCTGCAATGAAGTGGATTTCCTTCATTTTAACCCTAAATAAAAATTCAAAAGACATTCTTTCCCATCCATCAGTCTGGGTGGGTAATGCACAAGATACAGTATTAGCACTTTTCAGAGGACTCAGCACGCCAAAACATTCTGTGCCAGTCCTATCAACAGACTCACATGCTCTCAAAGTGCTTTGCTCTCCCTGATCCCCCATCCCTCACTTTGCTTTCTGGGACTACCTGTATTTCTGCTTAGCTCATGCAAGCACAGTGTTAATAGCTGTTTAACACTTCTTGGGGTGGAACAGGCTGTCAAACAGATTATCCAATTCTTTGTTGGCCCCATCGTGGCAACAGAAGGCAGTGAAGATTGTGGGCAGTCTGCACCTGTTGTTCTCAGACTTTGGGGAACAAGAGAATCACTGGGGATGCTCCTCAATAGTTCATGTCCCTAGGATGATTCAAAAGGTCTGCAGCAAGGCCAAATAACTTTCTCTTGCTCTAAGGAACACTGGGAAAAAAACCCCACTTTTTCTTATATTATAAGATTAAGTTTTGAATTCCTGATAGAATAAGATTTTGGAAAGGACTCCTTGATACTTGTTTAGTTAAACCAAAACTACAGACTTGCAACCATATTATTTTCCTTTTAGGCTCCTAAAAATTCAAGTGCTTGAACGGAAGAAATAACAGAAGTAGTAATAAAGTTAATCACTGTTGATCAACTAATGTATGCCAGGCACTTGATATATGGATGACACCAATTATAATCATAATCTGTCACAATCACAGCCCATAGTTGTATGCTTGTTAAATGGCAAGCGTTGTTCTCAGTGCTTTCTGGTTACCTTATCAGTGATGGCAAATGTTGTAGGTCTCGATGATAATAAATAGCTAGCGGTGGCATGTGTGTCACAGGTCCGCCCCCACTCATGTCCTCACCATGACCTGGTGAGGTAGATACTACAGGCTGTGTGGCCCTAATCTGAAAACTTGAAATTCAAATTCATCCAAAATCTGAAACTTTTTGAGTACTGTTGACATGATGCCACTAGTGGAAAATTCTATACCTCACCTCACGTGATGGGTCACAATCAAAACACAGGTGCGCAACACAGTTTATTCAGCATTTCCAAGGGGGAAAAAGACTCAGCTATGTCAGTGTGATGTACAAACTTTGTTTCACACACAAAATCATTAAAATACTGTGTAAAGTGATTATCGGATTATAAAGTTTCCATACATATATATGCATATATTCCAAAATTAAAACAAAACAAAACAAAACCCTGAAATCCAAAACATGTGTGGTTCCAAGAATTTGGGGAAGGGATCCTCACCCTGCATTACTATCCCCATGTTACTGGCTCAGGAAGGTTGGCAACTTCTACAAGGTCGTTGACTGCTGAAGAGGTAGAGCTGGGAATCACACCCAGGGGGACTGATGCTATAAAGTACAATGTGCTACCTTCAACTACCGGGTTTCTTTTTTTTTTGGTACCGGGAATCGAACTTGGGACCTTGCACTTGCAGGGCAAGTGGCAGAACCACTGAGCTAAATCCCTGGCCCCCTAACTACAGGATTTCTTAACTCACTTAATCCTCATAAGGATCTAAAGCATGGTGATAATTATTTTCAGTTTACAGGTAGGGACTTTATATCAACAAGATTAGAGGACTTGCACAAGTCACGCTGCTGCTGTGTCACAGTCTGACTCCCAGGCCCAGGTTGCTTCCACATCTGTTTTTTTTAAAAATCAGCCAAGAATCAAAGTTGGAAGTTCTCATTTAAGTCTGGGTGTCTGACATCAGCACAGGAAGAAGCTCTGAGAGAACCATTTCTTTTGAAAGAACGGGGATAAAATATTTTATTTGCTTCTAATCATACCCAAGCAAGGGTAAGCCAAAGAAAAACTCATAAAGCTCTCAGTAAATCAGAACAAGCACTATCATTGACATCACTAGTGGTAACATGGTGAGTTATTAACAGAAGGTGATATTTTGCAGCCCAAGTAGAGATGACTCCTCAAAGCTTCCTCTTCCTCATCTCTGCATAAAAAGTAAATGCTTTATCATGGATGCACTGGAGTATAATTACATAGCATCCTGTCTGCTTCATGGAAATGTCTGATGATATTCATTCTGGCCCTGGTTTCACAAGACACTGGCAGAAAAGGCCTCAGTCACCTGATATGTTCCAATTAGATATCAACCCTGGCCTAATGTTGAGCAAGATGTGCTTTAAAACTATGAAGAAACATTTTGAAATGCTACCTGGAGAATCTCTGATTAGCAAATCAGTAAATTGAGATAGTGACAAAGAACATTCTGTGTGAAGTGTTGGTGGCTGCTGTTCCAGAACCAACTGTTCTTCCCTGCAAAATCTAGGTCCCCAGGGGCTCCCTTTCTCTGAGACCAACAGATGAGCACCAAGGCTGCAGTGAAATGATGCTTTGCACATACTGTGATCCTCCTCTGATTCCCTCTGCAGGCTTTGCAAAAGGTCCTGGGACATAGCTATTCCCCCTTATAACTCCAAGGGGGTACTTTTGGCTCCACTAGGTTTAATAAGCATCTAATGCAGATCCCTGTTAAACAGTCTATTTTACATTCAGGTCTTCACAAGGACTAAGGAGAGGTGCTATATTGCCTGGACACTAGAAAAATCACTGAAGCATGTGAGACTTGGAAAAGACAGAACCATACAATCCCATAAAGGCAAACTACAAACATTTACTGCCATAGCTCTTCTTTACTCACCAAGCATGTACAGGTATGATGGTAACACTAAGAGGAAAAAGAATGTCAGCTTGCACTTGAGTCATAT